TGAATTGGCCCCTCGTTCCTATGCTTCATGTTTTTCCCAACTACCTCAGTGTCTCTGGAACTATCAGAGAACGTAGTTTTGCAACTTTAAAAATCATCCAGATTTTTCTTTCCCACTGTGAATGCTCCCCAAGGTACCTGGTCCCACTGCAGAAATAAGGACACATTGACAAATGCATAGCACTTAATAGGCCTCATTTCGCACAGTATTTGAGATACAGAAACGTTTGAAGTCACCGTAATATTGAATGCACAAGAGTTACCTAGGTAATTTACACTCTTCTATCAAAGTCAAATGTTCCTCAATGATGTTGACTACCATGAAATAGGGATGGACTCTAGGCAGTCTGTAAAACCTGATTCGCTGGGTAAAATAGCAGCCTAAGTTAATAAAAAACAGAACTTTTGAAAGAAATATTGACATATACTGTATACATGCAACATGACAACCTAATTGCTAACAATGCCTTTTTGAAAAGTTCTGTTTTACTTATTTTGCATAATTGGTCTGAAACCCCTTTTTTATTTAGTAGCACCATTCATTTATATACAGCTTACAAATATTCTTATTTGTTCTTATTCAGTGTCTACCACTGTAGACGATATTTCCTCTCATAGATCTTAGAGTCCAGTTTAGAAGCAAGGCCAGATAATACAAAATAATTAACACAGGAAAGTCTTTAAAGAAAGTGAATTCTCTTAGATAAGTTCAGCAGCACCCGTGTTCTTACTGAGTATATTTGCTCAGAAAATCCCTTCTTTGAGATGATTAAATGTTAGAGTTCAATACAAGTTCAGCTGAATGATGAAAGTTAGACCTCCTTTCCCTGTGCTTTCCCCAGCATTTTCTTAAAACATCAATTAAAATTGTGTTATAATCTATGAAATTTCATGTTAGTTTTTTCCTGTGTCTTTTACGGGCCCCTTCAACTGTCCTTATATGCAGGGCATAGTTTAGTAACTAGCATATCGGAGATCTTCAATAAATGAAAAATGTATTTAGTGATGCTTTATTATTCGTATAATAAATATAAATTTATCTCATATTTCTTATAATATATGATACTTTAAAGCCTGAATTGGAAGCCAAGAAAGGGTGGCAATTGGATCAAGTCACTTAACTTCTGTTTCTCATGTCTTGATTTGCTATTTTCATATTCACAGTTATGTAACCCATTCCATAATTTTAATTTGGCAGATAGTTATTTTGTACCTTTTTTGAGGAGAAATTTGTTATTAGATTAATTCATAGCCTAGCCGGTGCTTCTCATGTGACAGTGATCCTGATATTGACAGAATCTTACTTCTTTTATCATTTCCCTAAAGGATAAATAAATTTCATTGGATGCAGTGAGTTTTTTTTTTTAATTTTAATCATTATTTTATTTATTTATTTTACTATACTTTATGTTCTAGGGTACATGTGCACAACGTGCAGGTTTGTTACTATCACAGTGAGTTTTTTAAATGACATCTTAGAACACGCCATGGGACTAGAAAAAAACAGGATTCTAAAATTCGTAGGAAGGCTTAAAATATTTAGAATCTTCTTGTCTACTAAGAGACCCAAGAGGACAGATAAATTCTAAGTTCATTGGTGGGTCTTTATAACTTCAGATTTCAGAGAAACTCCATCATGAGGAACCCAGTCATGATTTGTCTCTCCCTATGTTTGGGCCTCTTCCATGCTCAAGATTCCATGGGACTCAGGTTAGAATCCCTTCTATCTGTGGTACTGGCAGTAAAGAAATCCAGAGGCCTAAATATCGCTGGTGAACAATGAGGGGCTTGGCCGACCATATAAAGTTCAATGACGCACTATATGGTGGCACTGGAAAAACATTCTTTGGGACTCTCCAATCACAATCCAAAGAACGTATTTTCACTAAGAAAAAGTGGCATGCATTATCATGTGGCAATTGTAAATCTGTAACTATATATAAACATTCTGATATTAGGAAAGATAAAGATGGACACAAATAAAAATAATACTTTTCCTGATCTCTCTTTGCTATTGTTACCAAGAACATGTAAACAATGGAAGCAAGGTCTGAATTCAGTGAAATAAGTCCTTAATTTCCTCTGCTAATGGTATGGAATCTTGGACAATTAGAAACTTACTTTCGCTTGGGTAGGAAATCACTGTGGCTGGCGATTTACTTTTCCAGTTACAAGTATCATGAACTAACAATAATTTCCATTTTCCTACCCTTGAGCAAGGAGGAAAGAGCATAGTATTAATTCACATAGAAGAACAGCATTATGAAAGAGCACATTTTTGTGCCATGAAATATGTTTTTCTACTTTTTTGTAACGAGATCCCACTACGATTACTTCATTGAATTCAATAGTGAAATATTTTTGATACTTAGATAACTAACTCTTTTGAGTAAGAAGTCTGATTTTTAACTCTATAACAAATACATAAGATTTCTAATTAAAGAGTTTTAAAAATAAATGTTAAACTTCTTTAGCTCAACTGTTTCTGTTTTTTGAATTATCACTGGGACTTTCTGCATAGTTCCTTTCTTCATTCATCCACCCTTTCTTTCATGTAAACTTTTACTGCTTCAGCCCTAACTAGGCATTGCATTTCTCCCAGGCACTGGGGAAGCAACAGTGGATAGCGACAGTCCCTATTCTAATGTTGGCTAACATTTAAGACATGAATAGTTTTAGCTCATCAATTAACTGCCCTAGAGACTTAGAAAAAGTCAACTGAAGCCAAGTTGATGAGTAGTTATTAAACACTTATGTCCTCTCTAGCAAGTCCCTAGGTTTATGTCAATTTAAAATTCTGAAAAAATCTGGGAGTGTATGTGACAAGGGTTCTGTCACTCTGCTCATGATTGTTCAGCTATTTTCAGGAACATTCAGAATCTGAAAAAGGGCCTGGGACTTCTATTTCCTGGGAAAACTTGAAGCCTCTATTATCTCAGCTCTTAAATCCTGTAGAGTGAAACCCAGGGATTTCTAACACTCTAGAATAATTGCAGCAAAAGTAGTACATTCTTTTTGCTCCAATAATATCCCATAATAAATTGGTATCGCATAATAAATTGGGATACATTTTACCATCAGAAGACAAAAAATGATATAGCCTGGATTATCTCATGAACATGGTGTAAATACTCGTTTTACATAAGGCTGAGTAGGTACTTTCAAGCTTGTACATGCTGAATGTGTTTTCCCTATGAGTACACCAAAAACAGTTTTATTTAGTTCCAATCAAGCAAATACATGGAATTCTTTTCATTTTTATGTTCATAAAGTCAAACGGTTTGGGGATAAATTCCTGCCTTCAAAAGATTACAACAGAAAGACCAATATCTGCATTTTCCTACCAAAAACAACATGGTCTAGAGCAGGGATCTGTAAAACTTTTCTGCAAAAGCCCAGAGTATAAATATTTTAGGCTTTTCAAGCAGTATAATCTCTGTCACAATTACTCAACTTTTCCTTTGTATCGTGAAAGCAGCAATAGACAATATGTAAATAAATAGCATGCCTGTGTTCCAGTAAAACTATTTACAAAACAATAAGCTGGCCAAATTTGGTTCACAGGCCAGAGTATGCCAACCTCTGATCCAGGTAAACCTATATTTTGAGCAACGGCAACATTTGTTGTATTCATTTCGTTTCTTACTCCTATTTTATATCCTATCACATACTGAAATAAAATACTAAATAGTAAAAGAGATTTTTAAAATTTATTATCAGGTATCTGTTGTAATAATAATTCCCTGGTGAGAATATTCTCAAAAAACTAATATTTGTCCACTTAAGTGCCATTTTTCCCAACGATGATAAACTTTTGATCATTTTTCTACATAGTAGATTGTTTTCATTTGCTCTATATCATAATGAGTACAATTGAAATTTTGTATGCTTTTCTGGTAGTCTTTCTCAACTAATTCTTATGATCAGATGAACTATCTAGGGGCAAATGCCCTACCTTAGTTGACCTCAATCTGCAATTATTTCCCAGTTAATATTTCCATTATTTTATATATCAGTTATCAATATCTATGTGTCTCTAGTAACCTTCTTCCCTTTGTCCATACCTCCTTTTACATACCCATGCATGAAATATGCTCTTGATGAGGAACTGAATTCTGATTGAGAGACCAAAATAACCTAGTGGCTGGAATCATATAAAATGTTACCATAAAGCCAACATTGAGTTCTTTTAAAGAATAATTGCATTTCTTTTCTGGGGACACAGATTTTTACAATAGCTATTTTCCACAGTACTCAAAAGCTTGGTTGCTTCTTTCTTGCTCTTTTGGAATAATAGATTTCTATTACTCTCAATGTTTTGGAACCTAGCCAAAATTAGCAGGTAAATGGAGTTTTCTTGGTGTACTAATACTTCTTTATTTACTGAATTGTTTACTTGGAAAAAGTGATATCTTTGTGTTTTGTTTTGTTTACTGATTTTGCTGCTTAAGTTTTTTTTTCTACTCTATCTTCTGCTTATGTCTCACTTTCTCTCTACAATTTAGCCCAATGGATCTCAACCCTGGACTATGTAACTATCATCTGGGGAGTATCTGAATACCAAACCCTAGGTCCCAGCCCATAGATTTTTCTAATCAGTAGATTTAGGGGACAGAGAACAGGCATTAGTTATCTTTTATTGTGATTGTTTAATATTTCCAGGTGATTCTCAAGTTATTCCAGGGCTAAGCACTACTGGTTTACTATATCCGATTTATTTATTTATTTTTAAGAATTCTGTGTAAAAAGATTTTGTGGGCAGGGGTTTACACTGATACTCCTCTTTCTATTTTGTGGCATTTATATCTAACACATAATAAATACATGGTACACATTTATATACACATTTTTGATAGTCTTACGATGTGGAAAAAATAGGCTTTAGCGTTCAGTGTTGAGATCTTTTGTTTTCTTTTTCTCGGTCAACTATTGTGCCTTAAATTACTATTTTTTAGTAACTGTGAAGTCATGTGTGTGTTACTGTCTTTCTCTTTTTCACAGCACCAGAAGAATGGGCCACAACCCGCTCTAGCTTGAAGGCACCACCACCGAGGTCAGCAAGAGGGGGATACAGGGAACACCCCTATGGTAGATATTGAAGGTCCTTCCCACCTGTGACCTCACCTCAAAGACAATTCATAGCCTGTGGTCTCCACATAAACAGCAACAAGACAAGTAATAGTCCTTTTTTTTTGTTTGTTGTTTTCTATTCTAGGGATAACTGCTCATGATTACTTCCATATATTTCTTGTATTTCCCTCTATACTGTTGGCGTGACATTGACACTAGTATTATTTTACAAAACAGACTGAAAAAGACATTGGCAAGCATAGTCTATAAACCTCTCAGTAGGATGATATTCTCTTGGTTGTTTTTCATTGTTGTGTGTAATTTTTTTTTTTTTTTTTTTTTTTTGAGAAAAAGCATGAACCTGTTAACAGATTTTGAGTCTCAACCAACTAGCAGAAACTTTGTTTAGGGTTGCTAAAAGACTGTAATATGATTTTTGAACTAGCTGATAATAAAGTTGTAGATAAGATGTTTTAACCTGTCTTTTAATATCTGTTAGTTAGACAAAGATATTCGATATTAAGTTTGTAAATTTAATTTTAAATGCTGTTTTAATGGGGTTGAAAACAAGCAGCTACTGTATGTATGTAGCTAACTGAATTTGTTCAGTGTTTTAACCTGTATTTGTTAAAAAAGAAAAAAAAACACACACACATAAAGTTCCATGTGTAAGCTTCTCTAAATAGGAAACCACAATTTGTCAAATATGTTTGCCATAATTTGTCAATAAAGCTGAAAACTTTTGTAAAAACTAAATTTGGAATTACTTGTTTTCTAGCTTTAAATGCCTGCTTTATTTCTTCTTCAAGAGATGCCTAAACTGTTTTCTATTTAAAAATTACAAAAATGAACCCAAGCCTGTTTTAAGATATTTGTGTAATACTTAAAAATGTATTAATAACTTATGGTTGTTAAATAATTTAAAAGTTAACAAACTAAACTGTTACATGAATCATGGTTAGTAAACACTAATGTATAACATGTTAATGGAAAAAAATGGATTTAGAATAATAAATGGATTTTAAACTATCCTCTAAGCTTTATCTTGCTAAACACAAATTCTGATTGACTTGTTTGCATTAGCATGTCTCTCGTGAGAAAGAGTAATGGAGTATAAAGAGGTAAGATTACCACTTACCACTGTCTAAATGCCTAGTTCTTCAACCTTTGAGTTTCCCCGCACATTAAATATCCCATCCAACATGTAAGCATTGCGTAGATTCACTTTATTGTTTTCACTCAAAGGAGTGCGTGGACTTCATTTGCGTAGTTTATAACAATTTGTTTTGACAAACAAATCATCAGTGTCACTGGCCAGTTGTTGCTATTCAACCTCAAAAACTTTATTTGTAATTTTCAGTGCTAAATATCACCGCCCTTGAAGGCAGTTTAGAGGGCTGATATTTCTTTTGAGACTATCAGACTTGATGGCTGATGATTATTAAGGAAATATGTCGCAGGACTCAAAGGATGACTAAACGTTAAACAGGTAACACTAATAGTAACTCTGTAATTTTGCCTATGCAACAGTAATGTTAAATATTCTCAGTTATTAAGTTCCTGATAGTTAAAAAAGTAAACCTACAAAAATATAACAAATAGGTCTATAGGCTATTAAAACAACTAATTAACATTAACTAGAGGCACCAAAATTATTTGAAATTATATAACCCTCAAGGCAATAAACAGAACTAAAATTAACAATAATAGTAATGCAACTCTTGCTAACTTCAAACGTAAGCTAAATTTTGATGGAAAAAAAGAAAGTGAAAGACTTGATGGTAGGGATGAATGCCAAAACTGTTAATCTTTTAAATACAGTTTTTTTGTTTATGGTGGCTTTTTGTCGATGTGATTGGTTTACTTTTTTGCTGCTAACCAGCTTAGGCATATTGCTGTTCAGTTTTTGCAGCTGGAGTTGCATGCTAATAGTATTATGAAGTGTGTGTCTGTCATCAATTAAAATTGTAAATATTTGCCTTTTACAAAGTGCTGTTGAGTTATATTTAATTTTCGTTTTCTATTCCTTCTCATTATTTCAGGTACCCACAAGCAAAGAACACATAATTGAATAATGGATGTGATTTGCTAAGAAGGATGGAGGTAAGCTTATTTTTTATCTTCTTTGAAATAGATAATCTCATCAGCATGAACACATAATAAAGTGTGAAGCTATAGTGGTGAGCTAAAACACCTAATGCCACTTGTTGAACTACTGAAAAGGCTTAGGTAGGTTGTTGTCAAGAAATTGATGTATTTTTATCCTTTTTGAAATAACGTGGTATGACTTAATATTTACCTGGCAAGACTTTGTGAATTTAATCAGAAGTTTGTCAAGTGAATTGTGAATTAGTAGTTAAACTTCAGCCTTTTTCTTTGCTATAAACTACTATATTCTACCTCTCCTTAGTTGTACAAAGAAAGAGTACTAAAACTTGGTTATAGGAGATGGAACTCACAATCATTGGCTAAAATAAAGGGAAGGGACAGGGTGGTCCATGACCAACTCCTTACCTACCCCTTGTCATAAGAGTAAAATAAAATAACTAAACATTACCATTATTTCCCCCAGTTATCCCATTAGACTGATCAGTAAGCTTTTAGCTTCTCATCCAGCATTCTATTTTATTTAGCAGATAGTCACTGAGCAAAATTGCTATTTGAAATTGAGACTTGGTTTCTGTACACAAGGAGTTGAAAACTTTAGCCAATAAACTTCAGACTGAAGAGAGTGCAGGGACAGTTATGAAATCCACAGGCTGAGCTGATGCTCAAAGAACTGAAATGACTTGGTGTGATGTTTAAAGCAGGGTTTTAAACTCCAAGTTTTAATCTTCTGTGTCTAGTCCTGTTTTTACTACATAAATATGCATAATATATGTTAACTTTAGTGATCAACTGAGGGGAGCTATGAGAGAGCCTGGAGATTCCTTATGATGTGGGGAAAGGGGGCAGTGACAGAGACTGAGGGAGATATGAGGTAGAATGGAAGGAAAGGAGTAGCTCATTCACTGTGAGGAAGGCAGCACCTCCTGGTGAGGGGAATATGCTGTCTCAGTTTGTGCAGCTGGAAAAATTCAATGTGTTTGAGAGGAAAGCAGAGGCTCAATGGGCCCTGAGGGGCAGACTTATGAAAGTACACAGAGAAAAGGCAAAGCCTGAAAACACTACTGGTTCAGGTGAGGTCCCAGTTGTCACTAAGTGCTGTGCTGAATTGTTCAAATTTTATAAGGAAAAGGAAGAAGAAGCTATTACAGGTTTGAAGTAAAGAATGAGTGCTGTTCCTAAGAAAACTACCCCAATAAGACAAGATAAATCTCACATTTAGTCAATTTTATCATTACTAACTGCCTCTTCGAGATAGCTTTTCTAAAATTCAAACTCTTAAAACAATTATTTAATACTATATTGCTTCAACTAAAGTTCTTTTCTCTGCAAGATTGAATTCTGAGTTAAATTCTGAAATTTTATTTATCAGTAACATTTCATATATATTGGAGTATTAAAAATTGTCACTATTTTTGTAAAGCAAGAGGAAAAAGAATCTCTCATCCAGACACCCTGCTCACTATTCTTTTATCCATTTCAAACATTGGGCTTGATCTGATAAAGCAATGAAAGAACAACCAGCCATAGGTTGTTATTCTTTTGATGTATTAATCAATATGACTTTTTATTCACTGTAATTATTTGATTGTTGTTGTGGTCTTATAAACCTATGACTCTCACCATTCAGACTAGATCTTTATATACATTAACTCAGGGCAGGGTTATCACAGCAGAAACATTAGTGTTGAACAAGAAAAGAGAACATTATTTTTAAGTACAAAAACAATGATTTGCAAGAAAGGGAATTTTTATTTTCAGATACCTTCATTTTGAGTAGCATAAGCCTGATTGACTTTGAACATAAAGTTTATGCATTAAACAGTAGATATAAAAGACTTCTATGTACCTACCTACATATATCTACAAGGTAAAGATTGTACAGGCTGAGAAGAGAGCTCAAGAGGCAGCAATATCTAAAATATTAGTATGGCCTTTAATATGGCAATACTAATGGCCATATACACTGTGTCCCTTATCCAATAAAAGCCTCAGATGGGTTTGGAACACAGAGAGGATCTCTGACTAAAGGGGAGTCTGGGAGGCAGCAAGCCTCGCAGAGTTGTCCACACCAGTGCGTGTCAGGTGCAATCCTGTGGAAGTATCTGTAGGGTGTATTCACTGGCAAGAGTGAAGCAAGTATGGCAGAGAAAACTGCACACACAATTGCTTTCACAGGAAGGCAGGGAGGATGCAGTAGCTTCAACGTAGACCAGCGCTGGCCAGGATGCAGATGTTATCAGTAGACACAATAACATGAAAGGGTGAGAAGATCAGCTGCTCCCTGCCACCAATGCCTCCAGAACTTAAATCCAAGCCAGGAAAAAGAGAAGGGGAAAAATAAATCCCTGAGTTGACAGAGGAACTTCTGATCACAATTAATCTGAATTGGCTGGGATGATTTTTCTCCGCTCGGCAGAATGGAGACTTAAGTTTGAAATCAAGTTGAGGTTTAGAAAAATGTAATTATATATAGCAGAGACATTTATAGGCAAGTCATAACTTGCCTGACTCTTAAAATAATGATAAATGAATATGCTAGGTTTCTCCAGCAACAGAGAATGATAATTTCTTTAAGTTAGTATCCTTTTAGTGGCAACTTTTATTTGAACGAAAACCATTCAGCAAGTGGTCCTAACTGGCAAACTTATGCACAGAGGATGCCTTCTCTTGTCAGTATCAGAAAACAATGCTGGTCTCATATGGGTTCATGGCATCATGTCTGCTCTCATCATCTTCAATGTGGTGGCTCCCAAAGTTGGCAAACATCATGTCTGACATCCACCTCATGCAAGTGATACAAACTTGCATGGCATTTTAAGGTTTTTTATAGTAGTAGAGCCTAAGCATATTTTAAAGTTATCTGTATGCATGGTCTATGTATTTTTTCAGATAATGCTCTAACTCTTGGTACACTGATGATTCCATTACAACTGGAAACCTCACTGAAAAATCAGATTAACTAGACAAATCAGATTAGCTAAAAACTAGACAATCAGACTAAACAAAGTATTTTAGTAATAATAAAATTAAGAATAAATTCTTTGTGCCTACTAATATTTGTGCAACAAAATGTATTACTGAACTCACATATGATTAAATTAGAATCAATTTAATGCCATTTAGGAAACTGAATAGTGCCCTGAGGTCTTATAGTGCCCTGAGGTCGCTGGGGCACTGGATGCCCTAGTGTAATATTTAGATAATTTTCACTTTTAATATACAGTATTAATGGAAGTGACCATTTAGCTTAATAACAATTGAAGCACCAATAGTTTTTAAATAAAGTTGTCACAAAATGACGTATGAAAGGTTATCAAGAATTCTTTGAAAGGAAATTTTTTTTAAAACTATGTTATTAAAAGATTACTCTTGTTCTTTTAGGTCTTTACATGAAAATATATAGACTAGTATTTTAAAAGCTACAAATACCTTTTAAAAATGTAACTTTTAAAGGTTGATTAATGGATACAAATACATAGTGAGTAGAAATAAGACCTAGTGTTTGATAGATCAGTAGGGTGACCATGGTTCATAATAATCTATCATACATTTCAAAATAGCTGAAATAGATTAATTCAAATGTTTCTTGCATAAAGACAAATATTTAAGGTGGTGGACATCCCAATTACACTGATTTGATCTTTACAAATTATGCGAACGTATTAGATTATCACCTGTACTCCAAAAATATGTACTCTATTACATAACAATAAATAAAATTTTAAAATGTTACTCCTTATATCATTCGCTCTATATTTTCGTTCACATAATACAGAATTTTGTAGGGTTGCTTTGTCTTGTTTTGTTTTGTTTCTAAAGGGAATAGAGAACAATGATTAGTAATCTGAGCTGGTTGAGTATCAAATATTAAGTTTCAGTATCAAAAGACCTATTGCTAAAAAAAGTTTAACTTTTACTGCAAAAAAAAATCATGTAGTAAGTAAATGATTGAAAATATTGAATTGTATGGTAATTGTTCAAGTTGATTACATGATTTATGATTGATATAAGAGTATATAGCATTAATAACAATAATGATAGTAGAATCCTCTGGTTTTGGGGCATATATGCTGGGCAAGTTACTAGAATTTACACATAAAAACTTACATGAAGCATCTGTAATTCTTTGAACAAGCATGCAAATGAAGTATAATTAAACTCATTTTACAGAAGAGGAAATAGTGTCACGCTGCTAATATGTATAGCAAAGCCAATATTTAAAACACAGTTTGATAACCCACACATTTTCCAAAATACTATAGAGTTTCCTAACTCTGAATAAATTTGATCGAAAAGAGGATACAGAATTCCAGGTAGCCTTAACATAATTTCTGTTCTGTAGCAATATGATGAATATTGATGTAAAAAATGATATGCCAAAACATCTTAAATTGAAGTCAGTCATTTTACTTTGATCTTTCCGCATGTATCATTCTGATTTCATTATAGAAAAACATAGATGAAAGTATTCCACACTTGCCACAAAGCATGACTACAGTCATTGGTAGAACAAATGAATTCATTTATAATCTAAATTCCATTTTGACATTTAAGAAAACCACTCACATGATTAAATAAGCATGAAAGCAATTTCAAGCTTTTATTCATCAATCTATAGATCAAAACTCTGCTTTAAAGAATAAGGGTCAATTTCAAACTAGAAATATCTTTGTATAAGCCATGCAGTCATGTGTTAAGAACCTAAGTGAAGATACCATTCAGTGTTAAATATTTTTAAAAGGCATTTCCTGTTGTCAATATAATGTGAAACATTTGGCTTGACATTCTAGTTTCCAATTAAATATCTGAGTTAACAAGAAAATAGCTGTTTTTGGTGACAGGCACCAGTTTTCGAAATCCATCATTAAAATTAGTTTCTTAGTCTTTTTATGTAGAATAAATTAATTGTTATTAAAAAGAATATTTACAGTGTACATTGGAAAAAGTAACTCTACTTGATATATTGTTTTACATCTCAGTCTCTTACACTTTAT